CCTTTACAGGAGGACTCCAGATTTGGGTCTTTTGAGATGCGTGGATGCTGCTGAAGCCGTGAGGCTTATTGAACAGATACATGCTGGAGTCTGTGGCACACATATGAACGGGCTTACCTTGGCAAGAAAAGTCCTTCGAGCCGGTTACTTCTGGATGACTATGGAGAACGACTGTTGCAAATTTGTGCAAAAATGCCATAAATGTCAAGTGCACGGAGATTTGATAAGGGTGCCACCTCACGAACTCAATGCTATGAGTTCACCTTGGCCATTTGTAGCTTGGGGAATGGATGTCATCGGTCCTATAGAACCGGCCGCTTCCAATGGACACAGATTTATCTTGGTTGCCATCGATTATTTCACCAAATGGGTGGAAGTAGCCTCTTACAAATCGGTAACCAAGAAAGTGGTGGCCGACTTTGTCCGCAACAATTTGATCTGCCGATTTGGAGTTCCAGAATCCATCATCACTGATAACGGTGCAAATCTCAACAGTCATCTGATGAAAGAGATATGTGAACAATTTAAGATTATCCACCGAAGGTCAACTGCTTATCGCCCTCAAATGAACGGAGCTGTAGAGGCCGCCAACAAGAACATCAAGAAGATTCTGAGGAAAATGATTGACAAGCAACGGGGTTGGCATGAAATGTTGCCATATGCTCTACTGGGTTATCGAACGACGGTCAGAACATCAACTGGGGCTACTCCATACTTGCTAGTATACGGAACAGAAGCAGTCGTACCTGTCGAAGTCGAGATACCGTCACTGAGGATCATCCAAGAAGCTGAGCTAAGTAATGCTGAGTGGGTTAGCAAACGGATCGATCAACTAGCCTTGATTGATGAAAAGAGGATGGTTGCTGTTTGTCATGGCCAGTTGTATAGACAAAGAATGACTCGCGCTTTTCACAAAAGAGTAAGAGCCAGAAATTTTGAAGTTGGTCAGTTGGTTCTTAAGCGTATTTTTCCTCATCAAGACGAGTACAAAGGTAAGTTCGCACCAAACTGGCAAGGTCCTTACATGGTCCGCAAAGTACTATCTGGAGGTGCTTTAGTCTTGTCAGAGATGGATGGCGCTGTGTGGCCCAAACCTATCAACTCAGATGCTGTCAAGAGATATTACGCGTGAAGTTCGTGTTGCATTTCCCATCATTTACTTGTAATCTTCTGTTTGCTTGTATTTGTTTGCATTTGAATTCTTATCCCTCTTGTAACGAACTACGTCTGACCTGAATTCTCGAGAACGAGATACGTAGGCGGCCTATGTCGGCTTCGGTCACCCCATGTATTCCCCTTGATTATTCCTTAATTGGAACTACGTTTGACCTGATTCCTGCCTCAACGGGATACGTAGGCGCCACAACGGCTCGGTCATATACCTAGAAGATTTCCATTTCTCTCCATAATGAAAACTGGGACAGAATTGTTGAGAGGATCTCAAAAATTCATTTGAAGTTGGACTTCTTTAACAAGTCAAAACAAAAGACCAAATTCTACGACCTGAACTACGTTCGACCTGAATTCTCAAGAATGAGATACGTAGGCGGCCTTTGTCGGCTTCGGTCGGTTTCTTTGTAAATTTTATTCTTGTTAACCTTTAAGGGGAACTACGTTTGACCTGATTCCTGCCTCAACGGGATACGTAGGCGCCACAAGGGCTCGGTCATACCTCTCGTAAGATTTCTATTTCCCCCTTCTACAATAGAAACTGGGACAGAATTTTTGAGGGGGACTCAAAAATTCTCCAAAGGGAACCTTCTCCTCAGCGGATCAAACTAAAGACATTTCGAGTTTGCGACTGGGACAGAATTTTTGAGAAGATCTCAAAAATTCCGAGATTTGTTCGGTTACAATGGAAAGAGGAGCAAGATACTAAACTGGGACAGAAATTTTGATGATGGCCTCAAAATTTCGTCATGGGACTTCCCCACAAGTCCGGAATGCCTCTGAAATTCATTCGACAAGCGTCGGACTCAAAGAAGCTCGTTAAGCCTGACATGACATGACTTGGCATTGACTTTTTCGAGATACTATTTCTTAAAAAATTTCTTGCTTCTCTTAAAAATTTCCCTTTTATATTTCATCTGTTTCGACATAAGATATTTTCTTATCTATCAAGAGTCGGGAAATCGGGAAATCAACCGAGGACGTCAAGACAAGGAGCAAACAATCGAAGGGATCGACACAGATCAGTATGTTTAAAACTGACAATTTTTCTGTGGATGCAGGTTTATAGTTTCACTTCGAAATCGGCCGAATTCTTCCGACTGATGAATACGGAGAAGGAGAAAACTATCTCCAAAGCCGGTGATTTTATTGAAAGTTCAAAGGTGGATCAAAAAGGAATCTTAGCGAAGATCTCACTATTTCTATAGAAGACGCTATTTGCATTGCGTTATCAAAGCAAGATGATTATTGTCGATAAAGATAATGCATTACCTCAGAAGAGACAGCTATGCAATTATTATTTTTATCATTATCGATCAAGTCGATATATTATTTGGAGGTCGTCTTGCCGTAACTATTCACGGGGGGCAATATAAATAATCATGTATGACGAGAAGATTTCATGCCTCGTCGAAATTTATACATCGCGAGAAGAATTTATGCCTCGCTGGAATTCATGCATCGCGGAATCATGCATCGCGGAAATCATGCATCGCGAGTCAATAATCATGCATGACGAGAAGATTTCATGCCTCGTCGAAATTTATACATCGCGAGAAGAATTTATGCCTCGCTGGAATTCATGCATCGCGGAATCATGCATCGCGGAAATCATGCATCGCGAGTCAATAATCATGCATGACGAGAAGATTTCATGCCTCGTCGAAATTTATACATCGCGAGAAGAATTTATGCCTCGCTGGAATTCATGCATCGCGGGTCAATAATTATGCACGACGAGAAGATTTCATGCCTCGTCAAAATTTATGCACGACGAGAAGAATTCGTGCCTCGTCAAAATTTGCACATCGCAAGAAGATTTTATTCTTCGCTGAAAGTTATGCATCGCGAGAAGAGTCATATCTCGCAGGAATTTACGTATCGCGGGAAGATATTCATGACCCGCAAGAAGACGTACTTGGATAAAGAAAGAGCAATACTTATCCATTGGCCTCGACTGCATTATGTTATTTCTTATAAAAATAAACATCATGGAGAGCATCGAAGATGACAACAAAAGAAACATCAATATCGCATCAGCATTTATTTATTTATTTCGACATCAAGTATGGAATACATTGAAGATGATATTGCAAAACACAAGGCATAAGCTTTATTTGCTGGACGTCAGACCGATCGAGTCGACGTCGAACATGGAAGAGAACAATGAAGTGTCGACATGGTAAAAGACACTGTCTCCCATCCTAATTGCATTTTTTAAGCTGACGAGTTTTATCTCAGTCTTTGTCGAGAGCATCCAAAAGGATGAATTCTCCAAAAACCACAGGTGCGGACGACATCAAAAAGGATGCAGCACAACGTGGAACTTTTTCTTAGCAGCGAACTGGGACACAGTCCAAAGAGGAGTGTCAAACTCTTAGGACGCGAGCAGAGGAGCGACTTCCACCACGATCGAACCACCCCTCTCGAGGCATACGGGTTTTCTCTAGTTCTGTCAGTTTTTGTCTCGCTTCCGAAAGTTTTGTTTTATCGGAAGCAAATTTCCAATCTGAGTGACAATACGTCAAAAGATTTGGAAATTATGTCTGTGTAAGTTCTTAATTATGGGTGTGAAGCGCGCCACATTCATGGCTAAGAGGTTACAAGCCTCTTTTTCATACTCGTTTAATGTGTCACTCGTCCAAAACCGAAGGTTAGCTAGCATAATAGTTTTCCTTTTCCAACGATCGAGTCGAACTACACACAGCCTGATTCCGAAGGTTTAAGGGTATGTAGGCAGATTCAATATTGAAAACTCGGCTGTATTCCAACATTCGCTCTCGAATTCTATTCTCGAGCATTTCGACACCTTCATAATTCGGTGTCGAGGTGGCTTTTGATTCTTTGAAATCGTGCGGTAAACCAAGCTTATCGAACTACAAGTGGCCTGAATTCTCATATAGCCTGAGATATGTAGGAGACCCGTTTGCAAGGGTTCGGCCATAATTCCTAAACTCTTTGTCAAATCCTCCTTCCTAAAGGCGAGTGGAGTTGGTCAAAATTGGTTCGGTCAACTTCATTTTCCTCGAGTTGCTTGCATCCACCCAAGTAAAATGAGGGACAGTTGTTGACACCCAATTTTGACCCGCGTCGGTATGAGTTAGTTAGTTTTATAAACCTTGCGAAAATAAAATATATGTACATATATGTATATACATATATGTATATGTATATATGTATATCTTATTCCCAGGCCCAATTACCCCTCAACCCAACACTAACTTAATTCCTTTCAACTCAACACTGTCAAGCCCACTCCCAATTTCAGACAATTAGTTAATTTCCAAGCCCAAACTCTTAACAGCCCACTTCATTGCTTTTAAACAACAACCCAACCCAACTTAAAATTAATCCCAGGCCCAGTCTTCGTGTTCCCAGCCCCACATTAACTCCAACCCAATTTCCCTCAGCAGCCCAAACCAATCTTTCAGCCCACCAAATTAATTCCCACTCCATTAATTCGACTCCCAGGCCCAAACGAATAAACCAACCCACCAAATTAAATCCGACCCAACCCCTTTCTCTTACCCGACCCAACCCGTCCGACCCGCTCCGACCCGTTTCACCCCTTCTCTTCTTCCCCACAAGCAGCGAAACCCATTTCCCAGAAACAGAACACAGCCAATAATTCCCAGAAAGAAACGCGACAATTTCCCCTGAAATCGCGCAATTCTCAGAACCCCCAACAACCCAGCGAAAAATAGACGCGATCTCTCCCCCCATCGCATCTCTCCCCACGCTCTTTCACTCTCTCCTCTGCGACCTCTCTCGTCGCGTCTCTCCCCACGCTCTTCTCCCTTCCACCCTCCTCTTCGCGTGAACAAGACGGAATGGCGAAGACCCACACCCTGCCGCTGTCACGCAGGTCTGCACACGCAATACGTCGCGGTCATCCTTGCCAACACGCGAAGTCTGCCTTGTGGGGTTTGACCCAAAGGGTTCGGATTTAAAATTCAAAATGGGCAGAGGTTCGTGGATGGGACCCAAAAAGTGGAAACCCCAGTGTTTCCTTCTATATAAACCCCACCTCTCTTCAGGAAAAGGGGTTGGCAATTCTGAGGTTAAACATTTTTAAGAGTTCTTTTTAGTTAAGACATTTGAGAGGAATTTTTAGTTGAGAATCTGGGATTAGGAAACTTCAAGTTTGGATTTTTGGGAAATTTTGTTGAAACTGGTTTGGAAATTTTCGAAAAAAAAAGAGCTTTGTTTGTTGTCGTTTTTGTTGTTGATTCTAGCTGAAATCCCATCAATATAGAATACCAAAGATATTTGGATTTCGGGGGTAGCATTCGGACACGAAGAACAGTTCAAGTCTCGGGAAGTTCTTTCGTTCTTCGCCGTCTATCGACGGAGCGTTGGACTGTTGTTCAGGCTCGCACGGTGGTAGTCGTCTCCGTCCTCTGCTCGTCTTTCCTCTGTTCGCTGCGTACAGAAAGGTAACGTTTAGCTTGTTTTAACGCAGCTTATCATCAATGTTCCTTTATCCACTCTTTTCTTACGCAAGCAAGTTTATGCGTGGATGTTCGAAGTATTTTGTGTGCTGTTGATCGCTGTAGAAGTAATAGGCTATGATATTGGAAGTTTTCATTAGTTAGGGCCATCCGGATGTCAGTGATTATTTTGTGTTGGTTGGTTTCGCTGAAGTTTGTATGTTTAGTGTTCTCTCACTGTTTTCTGAGTGTGTCTTCGCGAGGCGGCCATTGTCGTTGGTTGGCTAACCGTGCATGACGTATATTGACTCTAAATCTTATCTCGTAAGCTGTTAGGGTGGTAGTTATTTTTTTTCTTTCTTCCAGCAAGGTTAATATGGGGGCTTTGCATCTGTTTCTTGTCCTTAAGGATGTTCACCCGGTTTGCTCGACGTATAATCCTTTGTCTTATATCGAAAAGCTGGGTATGGTGGTTATTTGTTAAAAAATGTTAGGCTAGCTCTAAATATATCTAGCTTGCATTGAGGTTTTACACGAAATGGCACTGTTTTGTTGTTATTAATGTTGCAATGTTAGTCGATTCTATCCTACTTTTGCTATTTCACGTCAGCTAGTTTGAGGTTAGCCTGTTAACATGGAAAGATCCATTTGTTGAGAGTTCAAAAATACATGATCTTTTGTGCATTCTTTGGATGATGGCATCTCTAGTTTCTTCGCTCATTAAAATGACTTGGTGTGATGTTGACACCCTTTTATGTTGTCATTTTCTCATACTGATGTGATTGAGTTTATTTAGTCATATGTGGGAGTAATTGTATTCCGTTTCGATTATATCACGACCCTAGCACTATGACTAATAATAGTTTATGTATCCTTGTTTTAAATTACATTACTGATGTTTTGTTTCTTCTTTTTTTTTTTATTTTTATTTTATTTTATTTTATTATTATTACTATTTTATTTCTATCATTGTGTAAAGAGTTCACGTTCCTTCCTTAACTTCGTGTTTGTTTGGTTGCATGTGAAATTCTATCTCGAGTCCGTTTGGGACTCCATCCTACTCCAGGTATTCGGAAGTATTCGGAAGAGTCGTAAAGACTCACGCGTTCCTTTTTGAGTCAACCCATCAAGTGTTTTGGGAGAATTGAAGAAGTTGGAAGGAGAGAGACCGGAAGATTTTTATCTATTTCATATAGTATTTTATTTTGTAACGGGCATAAGCCCTTGTTGTTTTATTTTCTTGAAATTTATTTTGTATGTTTAGACTAGGACAGGTACGAAAGGGAAATGGGTCGAAACCCCAAAAAACAGGTGGGTCCAAAACTCGGTCAAGGTGAACAGAACCCGAGTTTGGACCCAAATCTCTCTCTCTCTCTCTCTCTCCCCGTTACTTGTTTTACACGTTTGTGGGGACTATCGATAGTCTAGGTTTAGAAACTCCAAACCCCCATCGACGCCTTTTATTTTATCAAAATTAAAATAAATCTTAAAACAATAAAGTTCCAAATTTACGAGTTGGCTTAGAATTAAAATTTTTTAAAAAGGAGTTAACTTTAAACGGATTTTAAAGCAATAATGTTTTTTTAAGTTTGTTTAAAATTTGAGAAATCTAACTTTAAAAATTCGCTAGCCCTTTAAAAATAGTCAATAAGTTAATCGTCGGAAAACCGTAAGTTAACGGAGTGTTTTAGGTGCCTTACACCTTCCTAAGATACTAATAGGAATCCCGAACCCTTAAAATGTTTCAAAATAATTTTTTCTGTTTAAGTTGTTTAGAAACGAAGTTTTCTTGATTTTTCTTAAAAATTAAGTGGCGACTCCTAAAAGTCTAAAAACAAACTCTTTTCGAAAATCACCCCCTTTTTTCGATAAAACAATTAGGGGAAAACCATCAGCAGGATATAGACGGATGCCGCGATACATACACATGTTAAAAACTGTGTATCCAGATTCTTATATAAGAATGCATAAGACTGAAGAGGATGAATTTATGTATCTGTTCATCTCCTTAAGACCATTCATTAGGGGATTTAAATACTGCAGACCAGTAGTTGTTGTGGATGGTGCACATCTGAGTGGAGCTTACAAAGGGACATTTGTATCAGCAAGCACACTTGATGGCGCAGGTATTTTTTATTCATAGTAATGATGTCTTTTTATATATTAAGTATCAAATAATATAATGTGTGTGTAATCAGGTTGCATATTTCCATTGGCATATGGTGTTGTTGACACCGAAAATGATTGTTCGTGGACATGGTTTTTCGAACAGTTCAAACATGCATTTGGCGATAGAAAAGATATGTGTGTTGTTTCAGATAGAAATGAGAGTATCATGAAGAGTGTAAGGATTGTTTTCTCCGATGTACCTCATTATGCATGCATCTGGCATCTTTGGAAGAATGTATGTGGAAACTTCAAAAGGAGCAGAAAGGCCATAAGTGATCTATTCTACTCTATGTCCAAGGCATATAGAAAGGAAGATTTTGATAAGTTGATGGCTAAGGTTGATAGAATTGATCACAGGGTTAAGGAGTACCTTGAATATGCAGGTTACGAAAAGTGGTCAAGAGTTCATGCAACAGTAAACAGAGGTAGAATGATGACTTCAAACATTGCAGAATGTATCAATGGTTGTCTTGTTGAAGCACGCCAATTAACTATATTAGAATTCTTGGAAGAGGTTAGAATTCTTTTTGGATCTTGGCATTGCAAAAACAGAGAAGTAGCCTCATACACAAAGGACACATTAGGTAGAAAATTTGAGGAATTGTTGATTATAAACGCGGCTAAAAGTTCAAAAATGGAGGTATGTATCATTATATAATACTTTATATTATATGTATCTAATTCTGTGTATCATTATGCTTTTTTAAACATGATTTGGTTTTTAAAAGTTATATATTTAAAATTTTTAATGTACACAGGTTGTTCCATCATCTGAGTTTATTTTCTCAGTTTATGAAAATGGAAGAAGATATATTGTTTGTCTTGAGCGGAAAGTATGTTGTTGTGGTAGATTTCAACTAGATGAGATACCTTGTTCACATGCAATCGCTGTATTGAAAAAAAAGAATGTCACCGATATGAATCCGTATTGCTCTGATTATTACAAGCCTAATGCGTTGGCAAAAACATATGAAATTCCAATGGTGCCAATGCCAGATAAGAAAGATTGGTCAGATTCTAAACGCATGGTAGCTGAAACTGTGTATCCACCTAGATACAGAAGATCATCTGGACGACCAAGAAAAAGAAGAAGAAAGAATGCAGATGAAAAGATTTCGGTGAACACAAACTGTTGTGGACAATGTGGACAAGAAGGCAACAACAAAAGAACTTGTACTTTCTACCCAAAAGAGAAGTGAATTAGTCGTAATGTTTCTATGATATCAAGAATAATCTATAACGTAAACATTTTAATGAATTTCAGTTTTCATTACAACTGCAAATTGAACACTTTGTGTTTAGATAAATAAACGTACAAACATGTGATAATTAAATTTGAAGTCGTGCTTATGATTATAAATACTTTCTTATTATTGGTGTTGATAAATATACTTGTGTCAATATTTATTTTGAATATATAAATCTTATGCTACAGTAAGATATATAATTTAAGAATTAATAGGTAACATAATGTACATGATACATATGGTTTATCTAGTGTATCATGTACTTTTATTGTGTGTTTTTGGTACACATTGTTTATATAATGTATCATGTACTTTTAGTGTGTATCATTGGTTTGCACAATGATACATCTCCATTAGATAAAAAATACAAATATATTGTTGAGGTTATTGTGTACTTTAGAATGACTATAAATCATGTATCATATGAATTTATATAATTTAACTTGTGTAATGCTTTTTTTGTTATGTTTTTATTGAAATATACAGTAAATAACTTTCCTTTAAAAAAATAATACCAATTCATATGAATATGCTATTCAATTTACCTAAATATCTTGTAAAATTTAAGGATTAGAGTGTAACATATTGTACATTATACATACGGTTTAGCCAATGTATCAGTTATTTTTAGATTGTGTTTGGTACATATGTATCATTTGGTTTTGGCAGTGTATCATCTCGATTAAATAAAAAATTTAAAATTTTTTATGTCTATGTTTAATTATAAATACTTTGATTATACTTTATTAAATGATTTTAACCTGGTTTTGGCAGTATATTTATTATGTCTATGTTTAATTAAAAATTTAAAAATCTTTATGTCTATCATTTGATATTTATATTTTCAATATAAACAAATTTGTTACGTAATGTGAAAAAAAATATTCATGGAAATTGACAAAACCAAAAAAATAACATTAAAAAGGATAAAAATAGTTGTTCAATAACATATAAAAATAATAAATATAACATTAAAACATTGTTTTATCATGAAATGCTACACTATGTGAACTAAATCTTCTTCTGCTGGTGGTGTGACTACGCCCCTGGATTTTGGTGGATCATCATTGTCGCTAACATATCCGCACTTAGCCTTCTCACTTCCATAACTCCACAGCAATGCTCCATATCTTTGACGCAGGTAATCAGGATTAAAATCAGCATAAGATATATTGATTTGGTCACTGATATACTCGGCAAATGCAGTAACATATAACCCACAGTCTCTACAAAAAATACAGAATAAATTAAAAACTTAATGATACATTAAAAAGGCAAATGAAAAATTCTTGATACTTACAGGCTATCGCTTTCCTGTGTAGGGATGTCTTGTGCAAATTCTATCATGAAAGGAACTTGAGGCTCCAGAAGTGAGCCATTATTGTTGTCTTTATATGCTTGACAATCAGCAAATTTTGTGCGTTCATTTTCTTCAAAAAATTCACTGTCAAGTAGGTATGAAGGAAGCATTTTAGACAACATCTTGATCTCATGAGGAATTGTTTGTTTCCTTGTGCTAATTGATGAGTCAAAAACCCTTATCAACCTGTTTTTCAACTCAACAACAGCCAACACCCAATGGAATTCTTGATCACAGTTAATTGGGATGTAGACCTCATATACAAGATGCCATGGTAAAGCAGCTGGTATTCCAAACCCTTTGATGATGTTAATATTTGACCTCTCATGTACAAATACAACTGAAGCGCGGTCAATATGTTCTTGTGTAGTAAGACTATCATCATCATCGTCCATGTAATATCTATCATAACAGTTTTTTACATGTGACATGAACAAACAGTGGGTTATTGTGTATCTGTATTGATCCATGCTGCAAAGTTTTGATTTTTTACGAAGGTAGTAAAAAATCACATCGATGTGCTATAAAAAAAATGAAAACAGAGTAAGAAATTATTTACATCTAAACAATATAAAAAAAGAAATATAATTATGTGAATATAGTATGATACTTTTGCAAATTAAATAGTATGATACTTATACAGAATGTATCATTGCTAATTAAATAGTATGATACTTATACAGAATGTATCATGATGTTATAATATAGTTATGACTGATACATATTTCATAAATAGTTTAATATTTTACCTCATCAGACCAACATTTGTTTGGCTGTGACATGGCATAAAACCAATTCTTGTTTATTGGAAAAGCAACAACAAAGTCCATCATCGTAAATCCAAAAGAAGATCTTGATCTGTATTTATCGTCCGATGGGTTCCTGCATATATGATACATAAGTTTTCAATGTATGTACATGATACATAACACTGACTTATTTACAGTTTTTATAACAAAGTATCATGAATTAGTTGTATATAAAATGATTACGCCTAACACTGAGAAAAAAAATGTATAAAACTTACTTATTGTTATGATTTTTTAGAAGCCCCCTCAACAACCAATTCATGTAATCCTCAATAAGTTTCTGCGAAACTTTATCTGCAATGCCACATCCTTCGAACGGGAAATGGAGTCGAGCCATATCCTTCAATTTCTCTTTTCCCTTCTCGCTTGACCCAAAAGAAGTACAATATGGAGATTGAATCCTTCTCGAAGACATTCTATTTCTATGCGCAGGAGTGACTGCATCAGTTTTAACAGCAATCTCCGTTATTGGAATATCAGTGGGTAATTGACTGTCGGTCAACAAATACTGGCTGCTAGTTATATTCTGTGGATCGTAAGAATATAATGGTCTAGCATTGGTAGCATCTTTACCCAAATCTTTGATAAGCGCATCTATTGCTGCTTGAGTTGATGGCGATATTGTTGTTGAAGTTGAAGAATCCTGTATAATATGATGTAATGATTTTTAGAATAAATTTGTGTGTAATGAAATTGTGTGTCATAAATCAAAATTGAAAAATGTACCGATGAATCCATTGTTGTTTTTTCGGGCAACACATGAGGGATGTTGTGATGAACATTGTCATCAACGGCTTGGTCCATGATATGTTCATTTAAATCTTGGTGCGACTGATGTGCGTCACCATCCGGCATATGCAATTTTGAAATAAAAACTGTTAATATAATTTGTGCTGATACGTAACATTGATTACAATCACATGATACATAGTATTGAGTAAATATGCATGATACATGACAGAATATAAAATGATAAAAAAAATGATCATGATACAAAGCATTGACTATATGTACATGATACACAACATACCCAATGTATCATAAACATTACCTTTGGATTATCACTGACTATTTGTTCACCCTCATTTACGGAAACACCAACACCATCCATATCTACATCCCCTGCATCGTCGATGATATGATGCTCACCATTTTTACCAGAAAAACCACCACCATCCTCAGCTACACCACCCATATCATCGAGATCAAATGGTATTTGCTGAGATGTTTGTTTGTCAGACTGAAATGTGCTTGTATCAGCCTGAAAATTGATGTTCTCTTTGCTAATAGATTGCATCAGCTGGGAGTGATTTGCTTTTATCAAAATAATCAGTTCCTCAAATTTCTTGTCAACCTAAAAATTGTAGATACATTTAGGATAAATAAAAGTTTGTTTAAAAATAACAAAATAATTTGCTTACGTAAGTTTTCAAATGTCCTTTCAACTCCTCAATATGAGGAATTATATTGTTGACATTCTGTAAATCTGCATATCCATGAACATCAGCAGCCGGGTTCTGAGAAACGTCTGGAACAGAACCATGTACATCAGCAGCCGATTTCGGTGACACTTGTGGAACAGAACCATGTACATCATCAGCATTCGAATGTTGAGGCAGACTTGACATGGAAACATGTACATCATCATCCGGTGTCGGAGACACATTTGATTGATCAGGCTGTTTCTGTTCTGACACCTTTTTTTTGAATAATCAATTTTTTTCTTGTTTTTGGCGGTGGTGGAGGAGATATATCAGACACTCTAGAATATGTCCTCAATAACTGTTAGGACGGTTTTGTGGAGAAATCATCTAAATCATCTTTCTCGTTTGGTTGTACTAATGGTATTGATGTAGAATGAGCATGTTCAACTTGAGCAATATCAAAAGTTTCAATTTCCTCTGCTGTTGGACAATGTTTGAACATGCATTTTAAATGTATCACAAACACATAAGGTAATTTAATTGTTAGATACAGTAATAATTCATAATGTATCACAAAGACATAAATAACGATATTCCATATATAAAAATAAAATCTTACCTCTTGGAAAATGGTAGACATAAGCATTTCAAACTTTGCCTTTTTAGACACAACTCTCCAATTGCATATTCTTGGAATGACATTGCGTTCTCTCATAGCTATTTCTGAATTTAAATTGGATGCACATTCGTATATCCAAACATTTAGTGCATATGGCATCCCATATAATCGGTACAACTTTTTACTAACGTCAAAATCCTGTCTAAGTGAACCAATTAGTTTGGAAAATGATAGCTGACCCCAAGGAAAATGTTGATATCTACCATCTTCAACCATTAGAAAGTCGACAATAGATATCGTTGTATTATCAAGAGTAGCTAATACAAATGTATGAATAAAGAACAGTATAGACATTTGGAGTGCATCCTGATTGCTCTCCCAATTACCCATCTTAAACCTTTGAACTAGTTGATGCTTTGTAACACTATTGACTGCACCAGGGAAATACTTTTTAAAAAGCATACAATTAGTTTGTTCTGGGTATTTGAAATCATTGGTATTTCCTCTGACCTTAAGTCCTGTTAATAATGCAAATTCATCTATACCAAATTTCAGGACACACCCGTTGGAATGTCTAATATGCAACACATTAGGGTTGCTTTGTTCCAATTCTAAAAGCAATAAGCACTTAGTTATTCAGCCCTGAAGATTTAGAAATGTCTAAAAAGGGTCCAAAATTTGTATCCTTAAACATTTGGATAACATTGTCCCCTACGTATTTTTCAAAGTCCTTTAGGAAATTGTTGTTAAAATTGATAGCAAACCTTATGGAATGTGTTGGTATCTTTTTAATCTTGTACTTCAGTGGCTGCAATTTGAAAATAAAACCGCAAATTAAAACGATATAAAAATATAACTACTAAATAAAACAACTAATAACTTACTGATACATGGTTTCAGTTTTCAGAATTTCATACTACATTAAAAACATGTGATACATGTCTATAACATGTATCAGTGAATTAAATAAAACATTATAACATGTGATACATGTCTAATACATGTATCATAAACAGCGACTAAGCAACATACACAAAGAATCTATATGTATCATCAACTATATCTGATGAAGCATTTATTAAACTTAGTGAATGATACATTATAACAAATTTCAAAACATGTATCAGTACATCAACTAAATAACTAATACCTTACTGATACATGATATCATTCAGGAATTCATACTACATGCAAAACATGTGATACATAGCTACTACATGTATCAGTACATTGACTAAACAATGTACACACATATTCTACATGTATCATCAAACACATTTTATACTTTACTATACTTATTGAATGATACATTATAATAATTTTCAAAAACTTAATGATACATATAAAATATTATGAAACACAACAAATTCACGTATCAGTTGACCATCTAAAACACTATACACCCTTTTTCAAATATATCAGCAAGCACACTTGATTCCTTAAAAATTTTACTAATTTAAACAACACCATTTTTAAGTACCAAAATACTAACCCGGGACAATGTAGGCCTAACAACAGTGTTTGCTGCTTCTTTTTCATTTTTTGTTGTATTTTTACAACCTTTGATGTTTCGTCATGGTCTTTGTTTGAATCCTTTTGAAGATTCCTATGATCATGCAAAGACTTTTTCCTATTTTCTTTCCAATTATCATCGTCGGAATCATATATCCTTCTATAAATTGACGGATCCATTACTATGATGTAATAGAACAATTAACAAAAACAAAAAAGAGAAGAATATATTAATTGATGATGGATTAACTATAAAAATGGTCTGGGTTCATACGATTCAAGATTAGGAAGAAATAGTCGAATATGAATTAAGAATAAAAAGAAGAAAATAAAAAAATATACTGGGTTGAGAAGATTCAAAATTAGGAAGAAATAGTCGAATGAAGACGAATAAGGAAAAAAAAGTGAAAGTTGACGTTGGTAAGAACAAAACGGTAGAAGGCACTGGAAGTTATCCTGCTTCCTGATTTTTTGAATTTTGAAATTCAAAATTTCAAAATTTGTACTTTTATTTAAATTTAATTAAATTTAATAATTCAAAATTAAAAAGCTGATTAAAAGGTTGAGTGTTTAAATGGATAAAATTTAAAATTAAAAAACTGATTTAAGAGGTTGAGTGTTTTAATGGAGAAAAAATATGCATTAAAATTGGTAAATGTGTATTATAGGAGAGAGTGTGTAATGTATCTAAAAACTTACACTGAAATAAAAAAAATAGGAAATTATGTAATATTTAAAAAAAGTAGGGAAAATTGGAGAATATAAAAATTATAGTTGTGTATTTAAGTTATTTTTACAAAATATTTTTTATGAAAAATATTTTCCTTCGTACCAAACACACCCTAAGAGTTAATACAATAAACAAATTATAAGAAACGAGGAAATAAAATCAAACTTTTGGGCTTTTGTACCCAACCTGCCCTAAGTCTAGAAAATGGGCCAGCTGCAAATAATGGGTTTCAGCCCATTGACTTTCCTGGACCTGCTGCACAAAAAGATTTGAGTTTTGGGCCCATTTTTGCTATCAAACACTTGTGTCTATGTATACAACAAATATATACTGATGTATCTGGGCTGTATTTTAACCCATTTTCTTGTATATCGGACTGCATATCAAATATATACAGCCTATTTCAGCCGCTGAAACATGTTATTCGATTTCTTCCTGTATCTTGCTTTACCCGATCTGTATATCGATGTATAAAGAATTATACAGCCCACATTGGAGGCTTGTATTTCGACTCCAGCCTTGTACACCGATTTTTCAAGATTGACTGATACAATAAAAGGTAAAATTGAGCCTTATGGCTCATCCTGAAGATGCAAGAGAGAGATGCACCATGAACTCGGGAGGGATTCACATAAAAAAAAAATGATGATAAGAATTAGTATCCAATAATAATATCTCCCAATGACCAATAAAGGAGGATTAGCCGAACAACAAGTAATAAAATATAAAGGAATAGAAGTCATCAACAAAGCAAAGGGGCTAGCAGTGACCATGAGTTTGACAAATGCAAATGGAAAAAGAAGAATTAAAAGCAAGGCATAGTGATCAAACTGCTTATACTACTAAGCCTCATTTTTAGCAAATGGATAAGCAAATTAAAGGCACATAAGACCATAATCAAACAACGAGTTAATATGCCAAAAAATATAAGATAATCAACAAGTTAGTGAAAACATACTTGGCAACTGCAACATTAGATCACATTTAAGAACAAGTTAATATTAATTTCTTAGCACACGTTGGGCAACACACAAATCAGCCAAAAAGTATATCTCTAAACGATAATAATTTTAAGTAAAATCAACCCCATTTAAATGAAGAAACTAATAACACAACATAGGCAAAAATTTTGAAGGGATAATGATATACTCATTTATCATTCTTGAAAAAGAAATAACAAACAGTAAAGGAAACGGGGAAGCAGAGAAATCATGACAAACATGAGGGATGATTTGAATATAATTTGCAAGGAGAAAGGGAAAAAACATCATATAGATCAGAGATGTATTTTGGAGACTAGCCAGTTGACTAAACTTTTCCTTATGCATAAATGAGCTAATGGAAAATCATTTCGACTGACATCAAAAACAAAGAAAACAAAAACTTTGATCCGAAACACAACATGTTGAACAGTAGGATAATCACCGAAATTTAAGAGCAGGGTTTGAGATTTCAGGTTCATTTCGAAGGAAAGTTAATAAAACTTTGATGCTAAGAGTCAGTGAAAACTTATACATACACATGAGTATTAAACAACATTCAAACAAGTGAGGGATAGCCTTAAAATTACCATAGCGGAGCAGCGAAGCTAGGCATGAAAATAGCAGAATTAGAAACGACAACAGAAATGTTATACAACACAGATACGACATATCAACTATGCCCACAATTTAATAACCAAAAACAGTATCTAAAATACCCAACCACCAACTCTGTTCTTTCTATAACTCTACTTTTCTGCCCCCAAAATTAAAGAAAGAAAGAGGAATTTGGGGTTGGTTTCCGTTCAGATTTTTTAAAGGAAGAGTTTGAATTTTCTTTGCTCCATTTCGAGACCAACAGTAAAAGAGAAAAGGGGAAAAAACAAATGGCAATGGTACTGTTGGCACCCCTTTTTTTGGAATTTCTAGGCAAACAAGTACAGGGGTGGGCCAGTTTCCGGGTTTCACAGTGTTCTTCGCTATTATTGCGTGAAGAAGACGAGGGAGGGTAGGGTAGGGTCGGGTCATAGAAATATGGGTTGCGCGTTTGGGCTGAATTTTGGAGGAAGATGGTGGGCTGTAAATATTTGGCAAAATGAGTTGGGTTGGGTTGGCTTGAAGTGAATATGAAGGGAAAATGCGCTGCTGATTTTATCAGTAAATGGGCCAAAAATTTGGTCTTAAAAGAGAGTTTAAGAGGAATGAAATGACCTATTGAATTTCACTTATAGCCAATTAAAATTAAAAACTTAGTCGAATTGATTAAATTATTAAATGAGATGAATTTATCTTAATAAAATAAAATAATTAACTCAATTATAAACTATTAACTCAAAAACATAAACTATTGAATATTTAATTAAGCAAAATCTTTTGAGATGATTTTCGAATATTCATGAAATATATTAATATATATAACTATGTAGAACATACATATTATTTCAAATTATGAAAAAAATATGAAACTATAAATAAGTTGCAAATTATATTTATTTATTTTAATTTTTTTTATAAAACTAATTATTTTAAATTTTTTGAAATTGAAGAAACATAATTATTATATTATATTGTGGAGGATCAAAATTGGGTGTCTACATTATTCTATAGCTACAAATCTTCTATTCAGTCCCTCTAAATCTACCTTGCTATCCGTCCAAATCAGCTATTCTATCACAATATTTATTCTTTTAATTCTACAAAAAATGTATATGAGCATGCTAATTTATATTACTATATAATTACTTAATATATACAAGCATTTAGTTGTCCATTATGCTCACATCCCCGCTCAAATTGATGTTGGTGGATCAAGAAGCATCAATTTGCCTACTAGAATCTAATGGAGTTGTCGTGCAATGGATTTTATACACGCAACAACTATTAGAAGATCATTGGACATATGTGGAAAAGTAATCTCCTTTATCCACAATTTCTTGTATATAATGACAATTCACTTCGATGTGTTTGGTTCACTCATGAAAAGTTGGATTAGTAGCAATCTGAATAACACTTATATTGTCAGCGTGAAGAGGAGTAGGATGATATTGAAAAAATTCAATCTCGGTAAGTAATCCACGAAGACATACAACCTCAGAGAAAACAATAGACATAGATCAATATTCAGCCTCTGTTGAAGATTTTGACGCATGTTCTTTCTTTTTACTCTTCCAAGATATCAATGACTCTCTTAGAAAAATATGCATCAATCAGAGACTAGACGACGAGTATAAGGACATTCCACCCAATAAGAATCACTAAAAGCATTAACAAGAATAGGATAAACAATTGGAAAAGAACATTCCACGAGTAGATATTCCTAAAAGATATCGAATGATGCGACGAACAACCACCAAGTGGAGATGACTGCAAACCTGCATAAATTGACTAACTTGTTGAACTGCAAAAGAGATATCAGACCGAGTAATGGTAATATAGTTCATACAAAAATCCAGGTTTGAACCTCTTAAAAGAAGATGATAAGTCCTTAAAAGTAGAAAGAAGAGGAGAAATAGAAGATGAATCTACAATAATAGGAAAGAAATATCGATTCTCAAAGAAAATAACATTTCTAGAAGTACAAAATTTGTGGGAACATGGATCATAGAAAAAATAAAATTAACCTTTTTGTGAAGTACTATAACCCATAAAAGCACATTTAGCAGACTGTACAGAAAGTTTATAGCGCTGGGAAGGAGCAAATGCACAAAACAAATACAACCAAATGTATGAAAATCACTATAATTAGAATTTTGGTGATAAAGACTAAAATATAGAGACTCATGGATTCAGCACTCAGATGACAATCTATTAATTAAATTAATAGAATTAGACAAAGCGTCCACCTAATTTTTTGATGGTACAGATGACTCAATCAATAAAGTACGAGTGACATTTAAAAGAAGACGAAATTTTCGTTCAACAACTCCATTTTGTTGTGGTTTATATATGCAAGAGTGTTATGAGACAATTCCTTTGTCAAGCAAGAATTTTTTGAATTCATAAGACATATATTCTCCACCAGAATAAGATCTTAATAATTTGATGCACGTAGAAAATTGAGTCTCAATGTAAACCAAAAATATCTTGAACGTGAAAAATACCTCAAAATTTGGATAGAAGAAAATACACCCATGTAAACCAACTATAATCATTTAGAAATGTCACAAAATATTTGAAATGAACATAAGATATAATTGGTGAAAATTTTCAAACATCACTATGAATGACATCAAAACACTTTGTTGCAAGACTACCAAAATTAGGAAAGGAAGAGTTTTACTTTTGACTAATTTACATGTAGAACAATCAATAGAAGTAACTGAAATTTGATTTTTATTTTCCAATAAGCGAGAATTTGATAAATGAGACAACATAATAGATTTGAATGTGCTAGACGCTTATGCAAAACCTCGCTCTTACAAGCAGTAGAAGTAGAAACAAAAAATATAACGGAAGAAATTGAAAAGTGTATAGGAAACAATCATCCAAATTTAGGCCCCTTCACGATTATCGTCCCCTACACCTGATCCCCGACGAGACAATCATTATGAGAAAAATTCACATCACAATTGCTATTTATCATTTGTCCAACTAAAATAAGACTAGTTGAGACTTTTGGTGAAATAAAAACATTTTGAAAGTTGGAGTAATGTCCCCAACCTTGGCAATGGGTAAATTACAACCATTGACAGTTTGTATTTGTGATGGACCTTGATACTTACGAACATTTTGTGGATCCTTGTTGAGTTGTTCATATGATTGGAAACACCTGAATCAACAATCCAAAAATTATATGCAACATCATTACCGTTTAATCCCAATGCTGAAAAGGCTGACACGATC